ACTGGATGGCATACTTGTCAGTAAATCACTTTTGCTGGCCAGTGCTGTCCAGAGCTGTCCAGCACTGGACAGATTCCCTAGGACTACCAGCTCACAAAGTGGTCTACTGATGCTGTGCAACAACACTGACACATCAGTAACTGCAGGTCCTACCCTTCATTACCAGTACACAAGGTGAAATTCTGAACCACCTTCTGGGAAGCTGATGTTGACAAAGACTAGGCCTGTTGTTGGTAAGTAGCATAAGGCCATGATACTCCACTTCTCATCTACTGTTCCTTGGCCCCATTTTGCCCATCTGCTTAGTGTGCAACACTAGACACACCAAGAGTGGCCAGGCAACAGGCAACAGCCCAAACGGAGGGAAGAGTCAACTAATGACCAATGTTCAACCAACCATGTGCTCCAACTGATTCAAGCATAGTTGAACCTGGTCCTCCAGCCCAGAATATGATCCAGAATTATCAATGACAATGTCTGCATAGGCAATTTTGGATGTTATCAGTAGCTGAGAACTGAGTTGGGCTTTGGATTCAGAATGAGTGCATTTGTCATGGTCCATGAGGCAATGGATCTGAATCTCTGTGGAGCTGGATACAGTGTGCACTATGTGTGAAGAGGCATAAGGAAAATGTATGATGTGCCCACCAATTCACCATGACCATACAGCCCATCCATCTCCACAGACTGCCCTCAATGAGAAGCAGAACATTGATGACTCACATACATTCTCTTTGCATCTAGCACCCAAGTATATCCCACAGGATCATGTGCATTACAGCAGGGTGCATAATGGAGTTCAACTGTTTCTGTTTAGCCTTGTCACTGAAGACAATGGAACTGAGCTTCTTGCAGTTGAGCATGTTGGAGATATAGATATATTCTCCCCTGTGTTTCTGCTTACTTTGATGCGATGTTTGACTGCTTACATAAGCCATTAGAGCGCACTTACTGCACAGTCATTACACTGTTCCCTCAGTAGATTGTTCACTACAGAGGGTAAGATTACCATTCATTAGCAGTATTCTACTTACTGACTCCCTGTAGTTGCCTACAGGTACAGTGAGGGACAAAAGCATTGCAATGTTTGTGAGGTGTGACTTGCTGAACCCAACACCCTCTTATCTGACCTCTGACCTCTGACTCTGACCTCTGCCTCTGAAACTTTCCTCTGTACCCCTCTGCTCACTGTTTGTTGCATACAGTGAGGGACAAAAGTGTTGCAATGTTTGTGAGGTGTGACTTGCTGCTGATATAGCTTGGGCTATTCTGCACAGATAATCATGATACCTATACAATTGGAAAGGGGTGACTCTGAGCTTTCCAGAGAACTAAGGTTCAGTCCAAACAAAGCAATACATGCTGAGATACACCCTATTCTTCCTGAAAAGTGCATTGCAATGCTTTTGTCCCTGACTGGTGAAATAGTGAAAAGTGACCTTTTGATGGGATTGAGGGCATGAAGGATGGGAAAATATGATTGCATAATAAACCACATGATCTTCCAGATGATTTGTTGGCATGTAAACAATGGAAAACATTGGACTTGTACCATTAACCCTTCCTCTTTTACCACAACTCATGAAATCATCTCTCTAGCTCACATGGTCATTTTCTCAAGGAATTCTTATCAAATACTGGTTGCTGCCACAGTGCCATCAGTATAACATGCTCTCAGAACCATCAGTCCCTTAAAAAACCTGCTTTCAGTCATTCCCTGGACTGTTCTCCCCCCCCCCCATGCCTGATCAGTACTTGGAAGGCTGAAAATGTTATGGAGGTCAATCTGGCACTTCATAACATGATGGACAAACTATCCCCCTCTCAATCAATGCATTTCTGGCACAGGAACACTGGTATGGAAGTTGGGGTGAGACAAAACCTCCTTGTGCTCTGAGCACCATAAGAGGGTTCACTAGATCTTGCTCTGATCTGAACTGTAGATGACTGGGGAAGGATTATGTGGTCATATGTGACCAAAGGCAATATTCAGGGCCAGATGGAAGCACAGGATTCTGCTCCATGGCAGTTCAGTAGCATATTCTTCTGATGACACCCAGGGGTAAAGAGGATTTTGTCTTGTCCTAACTTCCATACCACTGTCCCTGTGCCAGAAATGCATTGATTGAGAGGGGGATAGTTTGTCCATCATGTTATGAAGTGCCAGATTGACCTCCATAACATTTTCAGCCTTCCAAGTACTGATCAGGCATGGGGGGGGGGAGAACAGTCCAGGGAATGACTGAAAGCAGGTTTTTTAAGGGACTGATGGTTCTGAGAGCATGTTATACTGATGGCACTGTGGCAGCAACCAGTATTTGATAAGAATTCCTTGAGAAAATGACCATGTGAGCTAGAGAGATGATTTCATGAGTTGTGGTAAAAGAGGAAGGGTTAATGGTACAAGTCCAATGTTTTCCATTGTTTACATGCCAACAAATCATCTGGAAGATCATGTGGTTTATTATGCAATCATATTTTCCCATCCTTCATGCCCTCAATCCCATCAAAAGGTCACTTTTCACTATTTCACCAGTCAGGGACAAAAGCATTGCAATGCACTTTTCAGGAAGAATAGGGTGTATCTCAGCATGTATTGCTTTGTTTGGACTGAACCTTAGTTCTCTGGAAAGCTCAGAGTCACCCCTTTCCAATTGTATAGGTATCATGATTATCTGTGCAGAATAGCCCAAGCTATATCAGCAGCAAGTCACACCTCACAAACATTGCAACACTTTTGTCCCTCACTGTATGCAACAAACAGTGAGCAGAGGGGTACAGAGGAAAGTTTCAGAGGCAGAGGTCAGAGTCAGAGGTCAGAGGTCAGATAAGAGGGTGTTGGGTTCAGCTAGTGTGCTTACCTCTTGTGTGAGCTTAGCCCTCATATTTCAGAGGTAGAGCAGACTCAGAGGGAGTTGGAAGTGGGGACTTTATTTGATATTTGTACTGATTACATTGGAGTACTATGTGGCCTTATATATGATGTAGGTCAAGGGCAGTGCAGTGCAGAATGCAAACCAATAAGCATATAACAGGTTAGCAGTCCCTCTGACACAAGGGATAGAGGATAGGGATGACAGGGACCTTGACTGAGACAAGGAAACTACTACAACAAGGGAGAGAGGGTAAATACCAAAGGAGCAGAAGAATGGAGAAAAACTGACATGAGGGCAGAACCCTATCTGGAATGCAGGGGCACAAGTCTAACAGCCCACTGAGCTGACCAAGGCCTTGGAGGAGGCACAGATGAAGGTATGGCCTCCACATGACCAGCCTGAGGGTAGAGTTAAGCAGAGTTGGTCAGAGCATGGATGGGGGACCTTGGAGAGGTGTGGAGATGTGTTGGGAGGGTTGGAAGAGCATGGGAATGTGTCAGAAGAGGGCAGAAAAAGGTTCCCAGGGTGTGAAAGAGGGCAGAGTAGATGTTAGGGGCTTATGTTGGTGTCATGGTCATGACACACTGCAGTGATACTGTATTGACCCATGATGCAGAAGCCTGCAACAAACTTACAGAAGTTGTGCCAGATATCCTGGGGTAAAACCTGAAATAAAAGTGCTGGACAGAGAGAATAAATCCAAGTGATGTACTCATTGATTGCCTTTGTACCAGGAGTTTGCATAAAGGCTGGGATCATGAGGGGTGACATTGAATGAACCTGGGAGGTAGGGCTTGCACACAGACTCCAATGAGTGCTCAAGAGCAATGAAGATTTGGATGGCAAGCCTTTGACAAGGATCAATGAGTTTGAGGACATCTGTTAGAGGATTGCAGAGCTGGTCAACAGACTCTCCTCCAAGCCCCATCCCATCACCAAGTGAAGCATTCCAAATCCACTGGATGAAATCCATGCTTCATGCATGCTTGGGATTTGTAGAGGCAAAATCTTCAAGTTTGTTCAAGTCAAGATTGATGAGAAGATTTCTCTGTGGGTTGGGAGGGGGAAGTCTTCATGCATCTGCCCAGGTGAATTATGGGGAGAGCCAGGAGGGGGAAAGCCTTCATGTGTCCGCCCAGGTGAATTATGGGGAGAGCCAGGAGGGGGAAAGTCTTCATGCATCTCCTCAGGCATGCTATTGGGAGACACAGGTGAAGGTGAATGCTTGTGCACCTGGAGAACCTGGTAGTCTTGATTTATAGGAATATAATGAATACATAAAATGAACTCACCTCAAAGTCATCCTCATCTGAGAGACAGAGACACTTGGAGGAGTTGCAGTCACTTCCCTACTGAACTCAAGTTTCATGGGAGCTCAAAGGAGAGCAGACAAGATATGACACTAGGTTCATGGTAAAGCTGACTCGATGGAGGGTGTAAAAGTCATGTCATGGGCTCTAAGTCAATGTCAGGTTTTGGCAGGGGGACAGGGCACAACATACCTGTATACCTGTGTATATTGCATATTCACGAGGTGGAACACTTGAGGCACAGCCACCTGTTATCTAGTTTGTGGGTGTTACATTCTCATACAGAGAAAGGGGAAGCCTTCGTCACAGGTACACCTGATCCTAGGTTTGTAGACAGGTCATGCTTGTCCAGGAAAGCAAGAAAATATCGTGTGACATCTGATAGAGGCATACTACGATCTGCATGCCCTCAGCCATCTATCGAAGGCTGTTGTGTAGTGCTCCACGATGCCCCTCGCAGGAGCCACAGTACCAAACTGCGCCCTGCCGATGCAAACATCCCCTGCTCGTGCACAAGTCCATCGACCATGACATGTTCCCCCATACCAACAACCAAGCCAGTCAGTCCATGCTCTCCCCATCCACCCACTCACTCGCCTTCCCGTCATCCGTGTGAACATGAGCTCGAGAATGATGCCGACACCCATCATTCCTGAATGAGAGGGTCATGCACCACCACTCGACAGTTCTGATTGATCATAATTACCACAATGTTATTATAAATCCCCGATCCAATGAAGGTTCCAGCTACAAATCTCACATATCCTGAATAACGACCCCAAAGACCACCCGCCCATCACAATAAATGTTTGCCTCAATAATTGATGCCATCTATAGCCCCAAAAATCGCGCAACGAGTCCACATTCCATGGTTCATAGAATACAGGAGGCCACTGTGCAGGGTCTTGCTGCAACACAGCGATGCACTGAAGAATGTGCCGAGGTTATAGATCGTTTGCATGAGTGCATAGATGGAGAATCCAACGAAGATAGAAAGGACACTGGATCGGATGTATCGGATCAGAGGGGGAAGTGTGGGGTCAAAGATAGTGCCTCCACTTAGGACGGTGAAAGTGTCAGGCGAAAAAGCTCGTACGGCAAGCTGAATTACACCACAAATGAAACTGTGGAACAAAGTGGAGAGGAAGACGTATATTATGAACCATGGGCGTGAAGTGGGGCGTTTGTCAGGAGGGAAACGGAAGCTCTTGGACCAGATCCAACCGACACCGCGCATGTTGGTGGAGAGGTCAAGTGCATCCATGAGAATGGATGGGGAGGAACCAGAAAGTCAGAGGTGCCGTTTGAGTGGGTCCTTTTGGAACGTCCATTCCAGCATACGGATGACGAAGGTGAACATGACGAGCTATATTAATAGATCCAACATCGGACCCAAAGATGATGTCGGTCAGAGTAAACATAGTAAACATGATGTGAAGGGGGAGAAGATCGCTCATACTGCAAAATCAACATTCAAAAATGTCTGCTGGGGATTCCCACCTGTAATATCTACGTACATGGCAGCCCAAAAAGCCAAGAGAGCAATGAGTGGCTACAATGCTATATGCAGCATATGGGTTCTGGGGAGAATGACCAAGAGTGCGATGACATGATAAGCAAGACATGGAGGTAGTATGTATGCAAAGAATGTGCAGGTGTTGAATGGGAGTCTCTCTGCATCAGTAGACCACTTTGTGAGCTGGTAGTCCTAGGGAATCTGTCCAGTGCTGGACAGCTCTGGACAGCTCTGGCCAGCAAAAGTGATTTACTGATGTGACATGGGTGGGACATGGAAGACATTGGTAGTGTTGTGAGCAGTCACCATGCGTTTGATGCCAGTGCTCCCAGTATGTCTACCTCAGCTCCATTTGCCACCTCTCCTGCATCTGCCACCCCCACCATGTCTACTACCTTGACCACTGGTGAATTCAATGCACCTTCCATGTCTGCTGCCACCAATTCCACCTCTACTGCCATCACTTCTGGAGAGGATGAAGGCCCTTGATGTGACATTTCTATGGAACCCCCCCTCCCTCCCTCATCACTGAGCTCCATAAATTTGGAGACATTTTCCTTTCAAATGCTCTCCTCCCCTGGCCACCTGACAAGTGGCAGTACTAGCACTGGCAATCTGAGGCCTCCCCACTCCAATGCATCAAGCCAGGGAAAGCATCCCTTCACTGAAATGAGCAACACTGACCCTGCTGTCAGATCAAATTTTCTGGAGCTCCCATATGCAAACACCATCTCCTCTGTTGACACAAGGCCTTCTGTGAAGAAGAGGGGGGGGGCCAACATAGGTGAACCACTTCCTGCAATGTCCATGACTGATGCAATGGTGATTGCTGCTGCAGGGTCCTCCTCATGCAACACTTGGGTAAAAGCACCACCAGAAGAGCCACCCAACCTGCTTCTGGTGACCTTGCTTGGTGCTGTTACCCAGCTGGCAGGCTCCATCAAATGTACAATGCAGCCAGCTGAGGAGCAACTGAGCTCAAAGAAGCAGAGTGCCATTCATATTGTGGAGGAGGAGCACAATGATCTGAGTATTGACCAATGTATTTTGCTTTTCAAACTCATCGGGAAGGATGACTATATTTCAGATGTTTTGACACCAGTTAACCCTGACCACTGCCATGCATATATCTTAGATTTACTTCAGAAGCATGGATGTAGTTTGACTGCTCCTATGATGCATAACACCATTGATGATAGTTTGTGACTACAATTTACATGTACCTTCTGTCATGTTTCACTACATCAATGTATCAATCTCATTTGTTTTGGCAAACACAGTAAATTGCAAGAAATGACTACTACAATCAAGATTCCAACTCATCATCATTATCATCATCCAAATCATCCCTCTCAACCTCAGCCCCTTCATCCTCTGAACCCTGTGCAATATGATTGTAGTCCCTCTCCCTGATGATATGTTGATAATCAATCCACATTGCTTGTGCAATGCTATCTTGCATCACTTCAGCCTTGATGTCCAGCACATCTTGATTCTCCCAGTCTGCTTCTGGATCATCATTGATCACACTCCCACCACTGCCAAACATCTCAGATCCTGGGATTGGACCTTCAGTGGGATTGCAAATGGAGATGAAGTTGTGAACAGCACATAGCATGCTGGGAATGTGTGCTTGTGTTTCTAGGTCATATTCAGGCACTAGAAGCAAGATATGAAATTGTTGTTTGAGCACACTGAAAATTCATTTGATGGCATTCCATGTGGAGGCATGTCATAAATTAAACAATTCCTCTTTATTGGTGGGCCTATAAATTTGATCAGGCAGTGTTACTGTGATTTTAAATGAATTACATACCTTTGCTGTGCATGTTGCCATTCAGCCAGATGGTATCAGACATTCCAATAGGGAATGAGAAGCTCTGGTCACAGTGGGAAGCTGGCATCAGCAAGGAAATAGTTGCCAGGAGGGATGTAGAGGCCTTTGGTACACACATCCTGGTAAACATGTGCATCTGTAGTGGACCCCTCCCATCCTGTGAGTGCATAGGTAAAGAAAAGGTCAAAATCACATGTGAAAAGACAGTCTTGTGAGATAAAGCCTTTGCAAGTTTTGGAAAGTACCATGATCAGTAGCACTGGGGACTGCATGTATGTAGCTCCCATCTAAAGCACCTATCACATCCTTGAAAAATGGCCAAAACCTCATGTTGTCTTGAATGCAGGTGTGGATCTTATTTTCATCTGGGAGATGGATGTATCTGGTGTAAAATGGTGGGGTAGAAAATATTATCAGCATCTTGTGGAAATATCTGTGAAAAATCAGATTAAAAAAGAATTGAAAGACAATGGAAAACATACTGTGAAATTGTTGCATTTGAATGTTGAAACCATTCACCAACATGCTGAATAGTTAATCCAGTGACAGGACATGTACAAAAAGATAGTGGCTTGTTCCTCAAGGGAGATAAACTTGGAGTTTCAATGACCATGAGTGCACAACTCTACAATGAGTTCTGTGAAGACAGATGCATGCATTCCTAGCTCACAATGGATCCACTCTGGATGCCCCACAAGGAGTTCAATTACCCAGGCCTCACCCGAAAGTGCTGATGTATGGTATGGTTCAGGGGTCTTTCTTTGGGGTTGTTGGGGCTGGACAACAGTTGCTGCTGCACATGCAATAAGACTGAGAATCAATGTTATAAACTGGTAGAGCCACTGCCAAACTTCAGGTTGCTGAGGGTCCATATCAGTCAGAGGTGCTAGATCAGTAAGTTTAACAGTGAGGGAGGACTGTGCCCAATGCCTGATTGCTGATAGTCAATGCATACTTTGTGTAGTTCGCAATTCTTGCTATGGTCACTAATGCCATGTGTTTTTCCTTTTTTGTATGACAAAAGCCATGTGGCCATGACAGACTGCTGTCCACTGTCCCTGTGCTGTCCCTGTCTAGTCCCTCCTGTAGTTAGCTGTGCTGTGTCTGCAAGCTTCCCCCCCTTCTCCCTCCCTGTAGCTCTCCATTGAGGCTCTTGACATACCAGAAGATTTGCTAGAACTGTGAGATGATTTGCACTGATTGCACTGATCTCGGCTACATATGATCCAGATAAGGAGATCTCTGACTGATAAGGCCCATATCCTTAGCATTTTTGACCATTTTCAGTGTTTCCCTCCACTTCTAGGTAAGCCTATCAACCTGCTACCATGCTCAGGAGTGCACTGAGATCATTTCATTTCATTGGCTTTTTGGGTCTTTTTCTGTCCTTTTTTTCACTTTTTGGCTGCAATTTTGGTTTTTTTTGCAGGCATTACTTGGCCTTTCTCCATCCAGAAGTGCTTGGTGGGTACCTCCCATATTGGCAAAATTTGGCTTTTGGTTATACTAAATGCATTTTTCATTTCAGGTCATTTTTGGCATTGTTGCACAACTTTGCACACAACTTTTGCCCAAAGTTCCTAGGTCTCTGTCACTGGTGAGTCTATAGACATTTCTACAGTTTGACTGCATTTTTCGCTTTTTGGGTGCCATTTCTTGGGCATCATTTGTATAGGAAGCTTTGGTGAGTGTTTCACATCTATCTGGAGTTGGTATGGGTATTTTGGCCATACTAATGGATTTTTTCACATTTTTCAGACTATTTTTTCTGCATTTTTGTGCAATTGGTGCATAGTCTCTCCCCTTGCCCATCACTCATCCACCCCACTCATCAATTCCCCTGATTTTAGCTGCTGTTTTTGCTTTGTTGGGAGATTTTGACACTTTTATTCATCACTACATTGTTGGGTGGGGATTTCAGGCAGAACTCTCCCTGTCATCCAGCATGGCTCCAGAGAGCAGTTTGTACCTGCCACACTCACTCATTCAAACCTCTGGGCACAGATGAGGGTGCACTATCTCAACCAAAATATGCATCTTGGCCAGGATCCTGAATCCTGAATGTGATGAGTGGGCACAACATCTTCTGGAGATAGGGACCACTGATGGAGAACTGGAGCTTCCTCAGCACATGCATTGTGGTGATGACATGCCCTTTCTGATGCAAACCATATACTCAGATCTGCTTGCACTGTAACCACACCAGCAACTTCCTGATGGCTATTTCCTGGATCATACCATCCTGACCTCTAGGAATGCCCAGGTGCATGAGATAAATGCTACCATCTTGGAAACTGTGCAACCACAGGAGAAGTACACCTATACCAGTGCAGACTCTGTGACTGACCAGGAGCATGAGTACATCCAACCAGAGGTGTTGCACTCCCTGTCCCCCTCTGGATTTCCCCTGCACAAACTGGAGCTGAAGAATGGAGCACCTCTGATGCTGTTGTGCAACTTGGATCCCATCCATGGACTCTACAATGGAACTAGGTTGAGGCTGGTGAGATCCACACACATGGATCTTGGAGTGTAGAGTGTTGAAGGAGGATGGAGAAGGAGATATGGTGTTGATCCCCAGGGTTTCTCTTGACACTGGGCATTGAGGATTCCCCTGTGCCATTTCATCAAATGCAGTTCCCTGTGCACCTGGCCTATGCAATGACCATCAACAAGTCATAAGGGCAGTCAGCAAAGAATGTGGGGGTTGACTTGCACTCTGCAGTTTTCTCTCATGGGCAGCTTTATGTGGCTCTTTCACATTGTACTCATCCCAGGAGGATAAAGGTTCTATTCAGAGAAGGTCAGGATGATACCAATACAAGCAATGTAGTCTGGCCTGAAGTATTTAGACATCTGAACATATGATCTGTAACTGTGTACATATGTAATATGTGATATCAAATTGTACCACTTGGCTTGAAATGTGGGCTGGATGCAGCTC